TTATTGTACTGGACTCACCCTTATTGTGATGATGTGAGATGATACAATGCCTACGGAATGAGATGAAGTGAGGTACTCAGAACAATACACAATTTAAAACTAATGAAGTGTATATTTCTGGAATTTTCCATTTAATATTTTCAGACCACGGTTGACCACAGGTAACTGAAACTATAGAAAGTGAAACTTCAGATAAGGGGGAACTACTGTATCACAATTTTGAAAATAGCACACTAAAATATATGCCCCAATTCTCCCCCCCCCCCCAAAAAAAAAAGAAGCAAAAAACTGGTTTGGACACAACTTTTATTGGCTAAATATGCTTGAGACAAGAAGTCACATTGAAAGCTTGCTCCATTACATAGGCATATGCGGGCTTGGCTAAAGCAGGGTAGTTATCAGACATTTAAGACTGAGCAATGAGATGTTTCCATTCAAAGGGAAAATACATCACAACGAGGCATAAATATCTGTACATGGTGAGTGGCTTCCCTGTCCATCCCAGTGCTAAGGAGAGCCTCATAGGTTTGGCTTATTAAGCAAATACCTTTTGGTGGGCTAAACTCTGAATCAACAATTATATGGGAAAAGGGAATGCTTTCACAAAACATGACAAGATGGCTGCAATTATAATGAAGTTTGTTGGATAAGGACTTGATTGTGGGTACTATGAGTCACTTGAGACTCAGTTCATTTTACATGTGATAAAAATTGCAATGTTCATGGTGAAATGAAAAACCAAGCCATCAGTCTTCTTTCTTCACTCATCAAGCCTTTGTGTAGATCCCTGAGATAGAAGGATTCCACCCAATGGAAATAAAAACCTGCCCAATAAGAAGTAAAATGATGTCTCAGCAAAAAGACATTGGTGGGAATCTTCAACATCCCAGCCTGAAAACATTGTACGACACCAACTTGTTGGCACATTATGAATGACTCTCTCCGGTATTACCTTGAGAGAGCTGTCATCCTCTCCTCTCATAGTTTGGGACCCCTCAGGGGATGTCCACCTGCCGGCTTAGGCCCAATCCCTTACAAAACAGATCTATATTATCTTCTAAATGGAATCACTTCAAATATTAGAAAATTATTATTCTGATTATCTTAGTCTTCTTTAGAGCTAACACCTTTGCTGTAAAAGCAGTATTCTTATGAGATGTTTTTGTTTTTTTAACACACTTCCTTCTGGTCTTCTGAAAACATTTCAATTTCTTTCTTAAACAGTTGTGACCAGACTTGAACATAATCATTGACAAGTCCAGAGACAAGCTGTCACCAGCACTTTATAGAAAAAAGAAATGCTTCTAGTAATATATTCTAAATTCCCATTAACTCTTGTGTTTACATGGTACAGTTGATTACTACTGAATTTGTTGTCTAGGAAATGACCTAGAATTTTTTATATGCTCCTGTAAACCATGTTTCTCTCATCCTAGTCTTATGCAGTTGTTGTTTTTTATCCAAGTTCATATCCTTATAATTAATCTCTTACATTTCAGCTTGTTTTATTTTGCTCATTGCTCAAACTGTAAAGATTCTTTTAACTGAGATATAATTAACATATAACACTCTATAAGTTTAAGGTGTACAATGTGTTGGTTTAATACCCTTATACTGCATATTGCAATATGACTACCACTGTAGTTTACTAACACCTCCATCACATCACATATTTATGATTTATTTTTTGTGATGAAAATATTTCATATCTAGTCCCTTAGCAACTTCAAAGTATATAATACAGTATTATTGACTATAACCACAATGCTGGGCATTAGATCTCCAGAACTTATTCATCTTCTAACCGCAAGTTGGTATCTTTTGACCAGGATCACCCCCCTTCCCCCCAACCGCAGCCCTTAGTAACCACCACTCTATTCCAATCAATGATGAGAAAGACTCATTGATCAGCTGCCTCCTGCATGCTCCCTACTGGGGATGGAGCCCACAACCTGGGCATGTGCCCTTGACTGGAATCAAACCCAGGACCCTTCAGTCCACAGGCTGACATTCTATCTACTTAGCCATACCAGCTAGAGCTAATTCAACTTTTTTAGATTCCACATATAAGTGAGATCACACAATCTGCTTATGTGCTTTATTTCACTTAGCATAATGCCATCAAGTGCATCCAGGTTGTCATAAATGACAGGTTTCCTTCTTTGTCATAGCTGTATGATATTCCATCCCATTGTAATGCATAAATATAAGAGTAATTGTTTTATATTTCCTAACTTTGAAAGGAAAAGAATGTTCTCATATCTTCCTTTTTTATTTTTTTTGTCAATCACAGTGTGCATTCAATATTATTTTTTTAAAATATATTTTATTGATTTTTTACAGAGAGGAAGGGAGAGGGATAGAGAGTTAGAAACATCAATGAGGGAGAAACATGGATCAGCTGCCTCCTGCACAGTACCTACTGCGGATGTGCCTGCAACCAAGGTACATGCCCTTGACTGGAATCGAACCCGGGACCCTTCAGTCCGCAGGCTGACACTCTATCCACTGAGCCAAACCAGTCAGGGCTCAATATTATTTTATATTAGTTTCAGGTGTACAGCAAAGTGATATATAGACACATATAATTTTTGAAGTGATCCAAGAAAAAACTGATAGTTGCCAAAGTAGATTTCAGCAAGGATTTGAGAAATAAACTCAATTTATATATCATAAATCATCTTCACTCTTGAATTTGCATTTAGCTCACTATAAAATTGTAGGTGATGGTTTTCTTCCCTCGGCGCATGGAAAACACTACTCCCTTGCCCTTTGTCTTCTGGCATCTGGTATTGCCCACAAAGGCTATTGTCAGTACAGGCTATGCCCTGTGGGCAATAATTCAGCTTACTTCTTTATCTCACATTTCTGTGGTTCTATTAGAATGCATGTAAGTGTGACTCTACTTTTATTAGTTCTGGGCAGCATGTCATGTACTCCTCTAATGTGAGGCTTTGTTTTGTTGTGTTTTCTTTCAATTCTGGAAAGTTCTCAGCCAAATTCCCTGAAAATAATACTTCTCTGATAATCCGTGAGTTTTCTCCTTATGATAAAAATCTTATTGGGCATATGTTGGAGCCTTTCCATGCTACACTGTACTTGTCTCCTATGTGTTTCATCTTTTTACCTTTTGCTAAATTCTGGGCAGATATTATTCTCTTCAAATATTTTTGATGACTATGTGTTTTTGTTTTTACATTTGTTTTTCATTCTCTCTCCTTGTTTTCCTGCTTGCCTATATTTGTTTTTATAATTCATTGTTCTCTTGCATGAATAGCACAAATGTTCTCATAGTCTTTCCTTTATCACATTGTTTACGTTAAACATACGCATATTAAACTAGTTTTAGATTATTCTGTTTTTGTATTTGATCAGGAATGTAGCCATCTCCTGGTTGTTGAGTTGGCTCCCTATTTTTCAGTGTTATTGAGATTTTTTGTTTTCAAGAAACACATCAAGTGAGAGGTTTATTTCTCACTCTCACTCATTCTTCATAATGTGATGCTTTTCTCTCGTCTCCACTGGTCCCTCGGTACCTTCTTTCATCAGCATCTCAGGATCCCTGCCCCACATCCATTAGTGGTTCTGGACAGGTCTCTGACCCATGTCACTGAGCCTGTGGGCTGCTTGGCCCAGGGCAGGTCTGGATCCTCTCCCTCCTGCAGCCTGACACAATTGAGTGGGATAGATAGTGTTTTCAGCATCTTTTTGTGAGTAGCAGACCCACAGCCCATGACTCTATGCAGGTGCCCTGGAATCTGGTCTCCCTGTGGAGAGCTCAGAGTGGAGCACTTTACCCCTGGAGTATGGGGCCTCTGCATCTTTCTGTTCCCACACCTGATTTGCAAAATGTCTCTGGCTTTAGCCCCCATTAACTGACCATTTTGTAGTTTTCTGGTCTAAAGAGATCTTATTTTTTTTTCAAGAATACAGTATTTTTAAAAAGTATCTATCGTTGTATTTAGAACTAAAGATGTGATGTGTATTTGGTCACAGTGCCAAAATAACCAGAAATGCTTTACATTTTTCATATGTGTTGCTCTCGGTTACACATATGACCACATATGCATGTGATTTACATACATTGCACATATCTGAAAAACATCATTCAGCAGAATTCATTCTGTTTTCAAAGAGGTCATAGTAAATTTGATATTATTGTACTAAAACAAAATTTCGCTTTTTATCCGCAACTAAGTCCCAGATCAGGATTGGGCTTATATATAGAAATCAACTCACTTGGTCTAATATGTAAGGTCACAGGTATGGTACTCTATACCCCAATAGTTTTCTTGTTTATCATGATATGTAATATAAGTTCCGCCAGAGTCATTCTCCTTGATTGCATCCCTTTTTATCTTTTCACAATTCTCTATGAAATGAAAATAGATCTGGGTGGTGGGGGGAAAGATTATGTAACAGCATGAGGCGCATTGCCAATATTATCGAGATCAGCCCAGGAGGGTGCACCGGAAGTGCCAAAAAGGAGATTGAATGTTTAAAAAACAAATGTGAGAAAACACCAAAAACAAACTTGATCTTCCACACAATGTTATGTCGTTAAAAACCTCGCAATGGTGATTTATGGAGCTCAGTTAACCTTACTGTAAACATCAGTGGAGAAATGAGAAATACTCACCCCCTATAATCATTGAAAGGAGTTCATCCAGGAAAGCAGATGTAATCATTGAGTAAAGAAGGAAGTTAAAAATACATTTCCAAACTTTTTATTTACCTTCCCAACTGATTCTGATTCTGTGGCGATATTGTTGCTATGATTTTATGCAGCAGGTATGATAGAAGTTTGTCCCCAAAAGCTTTTAGGATATTCTCCTAAAAACTTTTCGGGAGAAATTTTAATTTGACAGCCCAGGCCTATTTGTTTTCACCTTTTTTAAACAATCTTCCCTCCCCCACCTTTTAATCAAATTACGCTTCCTTACTTCCTTATCTTTATTCTGATTTTTTCCCCCTACCTTATGTTTCCTCTCCCTTTTCAGCCAATCCGGGACTACCGTAGCTGAAATGCGAAAGAGGCAGCAGTCACAAAATGAGGGAACACCTGCCGTGTCTCAAGCACCTGGAAACCAGAGGCCCAACAACACGTGTTGCTTTTGTTGGTGCTGTTGTTGCAGCTGCTCCTGGTATGTCCTGTTATCTGTAAGATACCCTAGCTGAGCGTGGTCATAACGAGAGTGAACATCATGTTAGTTCTTAGGGTCATACAAACATCTCAATCTGTCTTCTTCCTTTAAAAGTAAAAATTGCTGGAGAACATCATTGCTTTAATGCTAGCCTTTCTATATGCAAAAATGCATTTCCTCAGAATCTATACTTAAATTGATAGTAAAGAATGAAAAATTATAACATGTTTTGCTTCACCCATGTTTCTTTAAAGATATGGGTGAAAATAAGATTATGGTTGTATATTTATTTAACAATAAACCATGTTCTCCAATGTTACAGAAGGTGCAAGAACATTGAGATACCATCTAGTAGTATTGGACATATGTGTTTTAGTTTTACGCTATTTCATAGGGCGTTGCTCATTCAGTCCCAGAGTCAGAAAACTGAGTCAGGGTAGCAACCTCGCCTCAGAGCCCTGACAAAGGCAGTAAAAGAAGCGTCGCAGACTCATGCTGACAGCTCTAAAGGCCAGGGGCTATGATGGGTATGAAGGCCAAGTCGGTTAATTAGAAACTCTGAACTCAGAGCCAGAGAATCTGCTTTCCATTGCGATTTTATCACTGACTGGCTCTGTGACATTAAAGTTGTAATTCCTGTCTTTTGGCTTCCTTGTTGGCAAAACGATGAAGAGTGACACAAGTTGAATCCCAAGGTCCCATCTAGTGCTAAATGTCCATGATTCAGGCACCTCAGAAAACCTGCTCCAGTTCCAAATTCCCAAAAGACCTTCAAGTAAGAAAAGCAGTAAGACCCGGAGTCCCAAGATATGTGCAGATGTGTTTTCTCAAGGAGATGTTAGACTAGTGGAACTTTCCAAAGAACCATAGGTTTCGAGGTCCTCTAAGATCCAACTCACAAGGGGATCTTCTGGGTTAGAGGTGGCTTTCTGGACTCCCACCCCCACCCCCCGGAACAATTTCAAGCCCTAGAGAAAGGACCAAATGCCTGTATGATCTCCACTAGTTCCCAGCATCCATTCGGGTTATTGTTATGATGTGGTGACACGATGTTCTAGCATTGTGGCCAAAGTAGAAGATGAAATGTGTGTCCTGGTGCAGTGGTAAACTTGGTGTAGAACAAGCTCTGACCATCGAGAACACTTCATTTGCAGAAAACCATCCGATATTGTGATTCGGAGGATTTAAAGTAGGTTTTATAAATATCAAAATTGCTGCCCAGATGATGATTCTTTGTTAGGGAAAGTAAAAAATTATTCCTTTTATTTCATTCTTAAGCCTTGACTGTTTCAAATGGAGGAAATAGAGTTCCAGAAGAGAGAAATATTTCAATAAAAACGTTTTGTTTTTCTTTTTCTGTATCACTCCTAAAGAGATCACCAACCTCTGGTCTTAACCCATGAAATGCAGTGGATTATGGCATGGTGCAAATGAGACTTAACATGGTGGCTCTGAACTTGAACTGCCTGGGTTCAAAACTCATCCTCATCCATCACTATCTGCTTGACCTTCAGCACGTTCCTTAATGTCCTCAGATTCCTCATCTGTCAAATGACAGTAGTAAGAATCCCTACCTCATAAGGTTTCTGTAAACATTAAATGAAATAAAACACATTCGAGCTGAGAACAGTGCCTGACACATTTAAGCATGCATTTAATACGAGTTAGCTCACTGGGCTATTGAACACTTCATATTGGAAACATAAAATCTCTTTAAAGAGGAGTTGGTTTGAAATAATGTATGTTAAAAACATCAGCTTGTGGTTATAATACAAAAAATACATTGGAAAAGAAAGCAGCTATTTTATTTAAATTCTATGTAAATATCTCAAATACACTGTTACACAGTGCTGAGAATTATACTACTTCTATTCTCATTTGCACCAGACCATGTTCCAATAATTAGTATATGATTTTATTTACCTGCCAAATTTAATTCTGAATTGCTTCAGGATTAAAACACCAAAACAGCCCTAGCTGGTTTGGCTCAGTGGATAGAGTGTCGGCCTTCGAACTGAAGGGTCCTGGGTTCTATTCCAGTCAGGAGCACATGCAGGGGTTGCGGGCTGGATCCCCAATAGGGGGCGTGATCAATAATTCTCTCTTATTATTGATGTTTCTCTCTCTCTCCTTTCCTCTCTGAAATTAATAAAAACGCACACACACAAAAGAAACAAAAACACCAAAACAGATCAAGTACTGAAGATTCATTGCACTATATTCATTTGCTGTCAAACAGATATTTAGCAAGACTTGCTCTTACTAATTCTTAATGTGAACATTAAATAACAAAATATTCAACATGAATTTGTGAGCATAACATTGCCACAGAGCACAGACTGGATGTAGAGCAGCTTTTGGAAACTGCATTAACTCTGAATACCTCTATGGTAACACATATGTAGACACATGGTGCATTGGGTGAGTTCTATTAGTTCTAGAGTATCATTGTCAAGAACTGTGTTTGTTAGCCATGAACTGTAGGCATCTGAGTGTAGGCCAGTGATGGCGAACCTTTTGAGCTCGGCGTGTCAGCATTTTGAAAAACCCTAACTTAACTCTGGTGCTGTGTCACATATAGAAATTTTTTGATATTTGCAACCATAGTAAAACAAAGACTTATATTTTTGATATTTATTTTATATATTTAAATGCCATTTAACAAAGAAAAATCAACCAAAAAAATGAGTTCATGTGTCACCTCTGACACACATGTCATAGGTTCGCCATCACTGGTGTAGGCTATAAGATGCACAATCTATACATTTATAAGTCTTCTATCTATATATATAAAAGCCTAAGCAACCAGAATGACCTAATGACCGGAACGACCGTTCAAGGCCGGCTGGCCCCAATTGCCCCAATCGGAACCTCCCTCAGCCCCTCTCCACCGCTGGCCAGCCTCAATCATCCCGATCAGAATCTCCCACAGCTCCTTCCCTCCCACCCCTGCTGGCTGGCCCCGATCGGGAATGGGCAAGAGGCCCGATCGGCCCGATTGCTGGCCAGGCCAAGGGACCCCACCTGTGCACAAATTCATGCACCGGGCCTCTAGTATGTGATAAGTAGAGGTAATTTCTACAGTAAACAACTTGATGAAGAAAATGAAAGTTAAACTGTCTTGACCTATGGCTGTTATCTCATTGCAAATGAAAATGTCCTTTACACATGCATTTTCAAAAAATTATTTTTTTTATACTTTGAGTGTAGGGGGAAAAAAAAACTTGTAAAGGCTTATTAGAGTGAGAAGGAATAAGAAAGAAAGAAATGCTCTTCAAATTTTCCAGGCTAGGTCAAAGGAGCAGAACACACAGAAACACTAAAAAATGTAATTTAGGGACCAAAAAAAAGTAAGAAATCAAAATATGAGTAACTGTCATTTGTAAATAGAAGCAGTTGTCATGTAGCTGACTTTTCCTCCTTTTAAGGAAAGAGAGTGCTAGGAAAATAAATGTCTATATCTAGTAATAAATATAAATACCTCAACCTAGGCTCAGATGTTACGTTTGAAACAATACAGCATTTCCCTCAAATTGCATTTCTCATTCATAGTTCATTGTCAACTCTTCTCCTATGTTTAAGGTTATTCCTTTCTTTATAAAATTACCACCACACTTTATTTGGGCGGGGGATATACAGAGAGCAAGTGCATAACTGCTGAATATTTCCAGTTTCCTTCAAAACTGTAAAAAGTTGGGATTTTGGTCACAGTGACTGATTAAGCTGATCTAGTCTCTGGCCCTATCCAGGGGCCACTTCCTTCGCCAGATCAGCCTCTCTGTCTCCCTCTTCTCCTCACAGCCCTTGTTTCAGGAAGAGAAAAACAAGGGAGTGAGGTGTAGACCATTTCACCTGTGTTACATACATGGGTCATGGGAGCCTGAGTCTTGGCCATAAAATGAAGTCTCTACATTTGCAAATTCTATATGAGAGACCAAGCTTTCCCTTGGTCTGACCAGGAGAAGAGATAGTTTAGTCAGGACTTGTCTATAGGTTCCAGGTCGCCATTGTCAAAACTCAATGTTCCTCTTACATCAGGATTCAAACAAAGTGACCCCCGCCTCTTCAGGTGGTTAAGGGCTTTTCCCCTTCTTTATGAGAAAGGAACCTTTGCAGGATGTGGGGGTCCTCATGAAACTGCCGTCGCTGGGACAGTGTGAACTGTGAGGTCATTCAGACAGTCGCACATGGAGGACATGTGTGAACGCACCTCGTAAATCAAACTGCTGTGCGCTCACAAAAAAGGTGCCTCAAGAAGGAGATGAAAGGTGGAGCTTTCAAAATGCATTTTGAGCTTAAAGCTCATTTCCAAATTGTCCCCGGTCCTCTCCTAACATCAGAGGTTACATTAAAATAATCCAGACTATTTTTTTTTCCAAATAAACTCTTTAGATGCTAATCCATCCCTGTTTTAATTCCTTGTGGCTCCTGGTGATGTCCTATCAAGCAGGACAGTGTCCATGTTTAGTCATAAAAAATTCAAATTCAAGAGATTTCAGCTACTCTCTCTCCCCACTGACTCTCATGCTGCTTCCTGGTGAGGAGAAAGTTCTGGGGGAGTTGGGGTGGGGAGACCCACCACATGGCTGACCCCAGTCCCAGGCTCCCCCCTTGCAGTTTCTGAGAGAATTGTTCTGTCTGTAGCTATTTTACATATTAGACTTAGCTATGAGCTTTTGTTTGGAAGAAAAAATATCCTCGTTAAAAAGCTGGAAAAATGCTGCGTCTGCCTTCACAGAGAAGGAAACGGAAGGCTTGCTTCCTGCCCCGACGCCCGTCTGTGAGAGAAGTGGGACTGAAATGCAAGTCCTTGAATATCCATCCCTTGTTTTGTCCACTTGAAGATGACACTTCCAAACTTTTCATTTCCAGATTTGATCTGACCTATGCCCAAAGCTTCTTCCTTTACAAACTCTTCAAGGCTGACATCAAACACAACTTTTCCAATCGAATTCACCATCGCATGTTCTAATGTACCCTTCCTATGCTATTTGGCCCAA